CTGATTCTGTCCTCACACTGGTTGATTATATTGCATATACTTTCAATAGTATTTTTAATTTCTTGAATATCTATCTGAATCTATTTCATGGAATCCAGTTCTTTTGTATGTTGGGTATTCATGATTTCTATCACTTTTTTAGACTCTTCTGTTCTTTTATCTACTCCTCTCTAGATTCACTAATAATGTCCTTCATTATAGTTATAATCTCCTTAATTATCTTCCCTTTAAGTTATAATCTCCTTAATTATCTTCCCTTTAAGGTAAGAGTTAGAAATCTTGAAACCCATAAGTTCCACTAGAAAGGAAACCTTGTAATATACCTACATTGACCCAAGAAAGATTGACAGCACTCCCCAGCAAATCATTCTTTTTGAGGAGGCTTAGGTGAGGTTCATTTTTTGGTTCATTGATTCATGCCAAGTGTGTTCCACATCTTGAGTTTGAACGTGGGAGCCATCTGAGCATGTGCCTGAGTCAGGCTCTTGTGTCCCAGTCACAGACATGTGCTTCCCAGGATCCAGCACGATACCTCAGTGGTTGAAATGCTGCCCAAAGCCTGGGAGCAGGGTCTGGCCTCCTGAGCCACCTTCAGCCTGCTATCCTGAGAAGTGGCCCAGTGCTTCTGTGGGAGCTCCCACTCCTTCCTTAATCTTTGATCTCCCTCCTGATCAGTACATTTCAAGAGAGACAGCTCCCACTCTGAGCATGTTGTGGTACTTCTGAGGTGGCCATGTGACTCAGCTCCATAGATTTCCATATGCCCCATTATTTCTGCACCCACCTTACCTCATGTTCACAAATGCCCACCCCTTCCTAGATGGCATTCAATTTGATTAAATTTTAGGTGACCCATTCCCACTTACTTGGCCTATCAGAAGTTATTGGCAGGCATACATGCTCTGGAATTCTAGTTTTGTGGATTCTGCTAATCACAGTCTCCATTGTAGACTTATTTTCTAGTGGCTGCACCATGTATTTTGAAATTGAAATTTTTTTAAGGGGGTAGCTGAATAAGAAGCAGAAGGATGAAGCAAGCAGAGTGTGAACTTGTGTCCTCCCAGAGTTATGCCCTCGAGCTTTCTTTGTAACATGGGATGCTCCTTTAAAGCTAGGGGAGACCTTAGCAGAAGGGAGTAATGGGGGAGCCCCTCTGGCTCATGTCACTGTTCTGACACCTTGGGCAGTTCTGTGGAGGAGTCCTAGGGTTCTGTGCACCAGTTCCCTTTTAGGCATGAATGTCTGCTCTCATTCCATCATTCTTTGCATTCTTCACTCAGCAAATACTTATTGAACACCTGGGTGCCAGGCACTGTGCTGGGTGCTGCACATACCCCTGAGTCAGACAAGGTCCCTACTCTCACTGAGTTTATTTCTGGTGGAGAACACAGATGATAAGTAAACAAATAAGGTAGTTTGAGGTAGTGGTTAAGTTCTATAAAGGAAATAAACTAGGGTGGTGATGTAGAGTGGGGGGTGGGGGAGTGGCATTAGCTAAGGTCATGGAGGACCCTGCCAGGGGATGCTGGGCTGGCCATGCCGTGCCTGGTGCAAGCTGCCCAGCAGGCTCTGCTTGCCTGGGGAAGGACAGGAGGACGGCCAGGGACCAGGTATGGGGTTGAGCACCCATGCAGTAGCCTGACTGCTGTAGGCTTGTTTTGAGTTTTCTGTTTTGTTTTTACTAGATTGACATTAAAAATTCTGTGGGGGAACTCAAGGAATGTTTAAAAGACCGAAAGTTCAAATGACATGAACAAAACCATCTGGTTCTCCCCTTTGTTTTGCTTCTCATTCCTGTTTCATTGATTTCCCACATGCAGCCCTCACGCTCAGAAAGTCTTGAGGAAATTAAGGGTCTGTGAAGCTCTGAAATGGGAGGTCAGATTGGTAGTTTCTGTCCACTGTCTCAGGCGGGAAAGCAATTTCTCAAAATAAGTACCAAAATACTAAAACTATGCTTTGATTTTTCTCTCCATGTTTGACTCAGTTCCTTCTGTTTGACTGGAAGGGGTTTTGGTATAACTGAAACCTCAGTTCATAGGAGAGTTGTAAGGAGTACACAGTATAGCAGGGGCCCATGGAAGTTTGGGTGGGGAAAATTTGTCCATATTGGGGTGAGCCCCATGTATGCTAACGAGCCTGGTCAGTCGCCTCACACACTCTTCCTCTCCACAGAGAGCATGATGTGGTCACTCGCTGGAGCCCCTTCCACACCCGCAGGCCTCAGTGTTACGTTCTATAATGTCTCATCACTCCTCATGTCACGGTAGCATGGAGCAGTAGAGAAAAGCCTAGACTTTTAGTTGCTAGAGAGCCAGTTGAAATATTATTCATAGAATCTTAGTTTTAGGAAAAATTGGTTTGATTGCTAGCTTTATTACTATTAGATGTGTGAGCTTGGGAGAACCACTTAACTTTTGAGTCTAGTTTTCTCACCCAATGAGGATATTAGGCTAAATGATTTCTGAGTTTCCAGCTAGTCCTAGAGTTCTATATTTCTACATAGTTGAATTATTTTATCATGCTGTTGCTGGGGAATCTGACTAATACTTTTGAAGCTACTAATTTTATGTCAACCTTTAAATTCCATAATTGTTATCTTCAGAAAATATTATTTGACCTATGAAATGTCCAAATCAATTTAATAAAATCACTTCATAACAGGAAAAAGATAACTAAACAATAAAAACACTAAAAACAATTATTCATGCTTATTTAAAAAGAGAACAACCAAGGAAAAAAAGTAAAACAAATTAAAAAGGGGAAAAACAGATCTCTCGTGGTTTCAGTCATGTGGTTATCTACTGGAATTTACAATTTTGTGCTAATGTCCAGCTCAGGGAGTGTCTCCTCTGTCACTGGTAGGCAAAGGAGGCAGACTGGACCTAGATTCCTGATGGATCCCAGCAACCCTACAGGAGGAATGAGCTGAGTAATGATTCTGGTGCTTTCAACTCCACAGAAGTTCAGGCTGATCTTGGCCTCTTGTGGGGTTTGGAAATGATTTGTTCAGCCTGCAACACTTTGAGTGTCTCTTGCCTGCTTTACCTCAGTTCTCTGATCCTGGAAATCAACCCATGGTTGTACTTTGCTGAGTCCCTGGGATCCCTGGAAGCAGCTAGCCCAAAGCTGCTCCCAATCACAGGTTCAATTTAGCCTCGCTAACATAGCATTTGACCAAGCTCCCTCTCCAAGGAATAAATGTACTGGGGTCACACGTCAGATGTTCAGAGCATCCTTGTTCAGCTCTCCTGGTTCATCTCTCTGTGGAGCCTTCCAGAGTAACCCACCTGTAGATCCCTGGAGTCACTGACCCTTACCATCTGTAGATTTGATTTTCCTCTTTCATACCCAGAGCCAGAAGTGAGGGAGGACAGTTCTATACCTCTTTTTTTCTGTGTGAGGCCTGTCTCTTCACTTTCCCTATGGGATCCTGTTCTCCTCTGAGATCCTTGCTGGTTCCTGAAATCCATGCCTCTCCTTTTTAGCCCCAACTGTCTCATTTTTATTCCTCCTCCATCTTCCTGGAAGGGAGCTGGGTTTCATTTCCTAACTACCTCGCAGTTCTCTATAATTCTGCCACCTTGTTCAACTATCCTTATCTGTCCCCAGAACTGCAGCACCAACTTTACACATATTATTTCATACTTCAACCAGAAGACTTTTTCCAAAATGACTGTATGACTCCTCCTCCTTGTTCCTTTCTTCAAATTCTTTCACCTTCTGTCTGAGTCACTTTTGCATCACTAGGATTCAATACATGACAGCCACAGTTGAAATGAGCAGTTAATTTTAGCATCTACAGCTTAAGTCCATGGGTGGAAGCCTTGAGGCAGAAGTGGCATGGTGGAAGAGTCCAGAAGGAGAAAGCTGTTTAAGTCAAGGCAGCCAGGAAATAGAGAAGGAAGGAGCCAAACAGAAAGACACACCAGGGGTCGTACTCCCAGCGGCCCCCCCTTCTATCCTTACCCGACCTACTTGATAGCACATGCAGCCAGTGAATACATTAGTCTATGAATCTACTAATGAATACAGTGTCCCATGATCTGTTCCACCTTCTCAAAGCCCTGCCTTTGAGCATATGAAAGTTCTTCAGAACATTCTGGATTTAAACCATGAAACCACCCTTCACTTGAATTCCTACATGGTATGACCACTGCCTACAACAACCAGGCCTCTCTCCACCCTCATCTTCACATGCCTCAAATCTCAGAAATTTTTCAGTTCCTGAAAATGTCTATATTGTCCCAGAATATGAATTCAATACCCCTCAGGAGGGCTGGGGAGATAACACAGTAGAATGAGCACTTGTCTGGCAAGTGCAGGGTCCTGAGTTCAATCCCCAGTACTAAAAAAAAAAA